CTCACTTGGGAGAGCGTGGTGCTGACAACACCAAGTCAAGGGTTAAGATCCCCTTACCAGTCATCTTAAAAAAAAAAAAAAAAAGATATAATTTTGCTGTGGTTTATATACACAACGAAATATTACTCAGCTATAAAAAAGAATGAAATATTGCCATTTGCAGCAACATAGATGAACTTAGAGAAAATCATATTAAGTGAAATAAGCCAGGCACAGAAAGAGAAATACCGTATGTTCTCACTCATAAGTGGGAGCTAAAATAATAAACATATAAATAAAATAAAGAAAGATACAACATTCCCAATAATACACTGAACTTTCAAAAGGACAACTGGGCTGGGCCGGCCCGGTGGTGCACTGGATAAGTGCGCCGCTTGGGAAGCGCGGCGGCGCTCCCGCCCGAGGGTTTGGATCCCACATACAGACCGGTTCCCGCTCACTGGCTGAGCGAGGCGCGGGAGCAGCACCGAGGGTTGCAATCCCGTTGCCGGTCCCCGGTCCGGTACGGGGGCAACACTGAGGGTTGCGATCTGTTGCCGGACACGGAAAAAGACAAAAAGACCAAAAAAAAGGGCAACTGGGCTATTAGAAGTAGGGAGGGAGGGGGAGGGAGAAAGGCTATCAATAGCAATGATGGTGTATATTATTGAATATAACAATTATTCTTTTTTTTTAAAGATGACCAGTAAGGGGATCTTAACACTTGACTTGGTGTTGTCAGCACCATGCTCTCCCAAGTGAGCCACAGGCCAGCCCTTGAATAATTACTCTGATGTGAGCACCACATATTGCATGTGGGTGTTGATGTTCAACTCTATATCCCACAGAGAAGTACAATCAACTTTGTTACAATAAATTTTTTAAAAGTTTTTAAAAAGGTATCATTTTGGAAGTAGGGCTGGCAGCATATTTGCTGATGAATTGAAGGAGGTAGGGAGGGGAACGTGAGAATGGGGAAATAAAAGAAAGAAAAAAATTAAGAAATGACTACAAGGTTTATGGTTTGCACAGCAGATGGATGGTAGTGACTTTTACTGTGAAAACAAACATACAAAAAACCCTGATCAGCAGCAGTAAATACCTTCCACAAAGTTAAATAGATTTGCAAGGCAAATAAGATGCTAAGCTTTAAAAGTATATCAAACTCTGAAAAATAAAGTTCCTCAGTACTGAAGGTCCCTACCATATTTTGCTGTTATCCTCAATAGTGCTTTTAGAATTGGCTATTCCATATTTACAGAATGCTGGCCACCTTCAAAAAGCTTTATTAAACACACCCATGACAAAGACTCTCCCCTCTCATAGCTAGCATTCAAAGGTGACAAGACATTACCAATTCAGTTCAAAGTGATCTACGGCTAACTTTTTCTTTTTTTTAAGTTAGATATAGTAGAAGTAAAGTTAGATGAAGAAGTGCTAGAAAGAAGCTTAATGGGAAAGAATTTTTATATTATATGTTCCTAGATTACAAACAATATTTGAGAAAAAAGATTAACCTTTTTCCTCAAAAAATGTTTTTTTTAGAAACTGAAATTACTAAAGAGTAAGTCCATACTTCCCTTCTGATAATAAACAAGAAACCCATGTGACTTAGAAGCCACTCTTCCTCAGCTAGATGGGATCTTCTAGTTAGTACTTCTTTTGCTCTACCCTATTTGATGGGGAAAATTAATACATATTGAGCACAAACTATACATTAAGTAATGTCCTTGGACTACAATTCCAATCTGTTCAAAAACAAATTGTCTGCATGCTAGCTATAGGTTCTAGGAAGAACCTGCCACACTTTTAGGTGGTTTTTCCATGACTCCAATGGGCCTAAGAGCTGTCTATATCTGCCTGCTACTGCCAGATCAGGACCACAAAGCTGCTGTTGCCATTCTTCTGATGTTGCCCATCTTATTTATTCGGAGGGTAGTCTAGCTTTCTCAATTAAATCAACTGAAAGATTCTGTCCCTTGATTTTTGATTATCTGCATTTATTAAATTCTCACACTTCTATTAGTAAGCATAATTGCAAAAACTAAAACCATTTAGGCTAATATACTGAGTTCTCAGAGAATATATCAATTCTAAAACAGGCCTGAATTTTTTAAATACATGGTTTTATCTAAATAAATGAATAATTGTAAACAAACTTACGTAGAATGAGTTTGCGTTTCTTTTGCTCCGAATGAAGAAAGCTACTAAGGTAGAAGACAACAGGTAGAAAGAGAATGAACACAGATACAGCAATTACAGGCACCGTGTCACTGCAAGGGACTGAACAGTTGAAAGTTCGACTCCAAAGTTTTCGAGTAATGTTCATCTGGAACAACAACAAATAATATTATTCTATTTTATATTCACTTGTCTTCACCTTTGGTGGGGGGGATGGAGGGACTGGCCAGTATAGGAACCAAACCCTGGACCTTGGTGATACCAGCATCATGCTCTAACCAACTAAGCTAAGCAGCCAGCCTTTTTTTTTTTTTTGCGGCTGGCCAGTACAGGGATTGAAACCTTGACTTTGGTGTTACTGCACCATGCTCTAACTTACTGAGCTAACTGGCCAGCCTTGTCTTCAATTTCATACAGTTATTTTCTTAATATTTAAAAAGGCACCCAGAATGCAGACTAAATACACATCCCTAAAAATCTACTGATGGTTGAGGACAATTTCTTCTACCAGGAAAATAAGCTGGTTCACAATTAATCATTGTATAAATTTATACCCATACAAAAAAATTCATATTCTAAATTCATAATACTGACCAGAGTATTCTAGAATGTCAGCCATTCATAGCTTTCAAACAGAGAACTTGGTTTTTTGTTTGTTTTTAATTGAAACATAATCGATTGTACATATCTGCATGGTACAGTATTGAATATCAATACCTCTGTGCAATGTTTGATGCTCAAATCAGGATAATTAGTATATTCAACATTACACCATGTAATCATTTTTTGTGGCCCTTTACCAATTTCTTGCTAGTCCCCCCTCCCCCTTCCCCTTTCCCACCTCTCAGAGAACTTGTACCAATAGGAAGAGTTAGACCTTATTTCATTCATTAAAAAAATATTTCTTATTTATTGAGAGCCTATTAGAAATCAGGTACTGTTCTAGGCAATAAGAATAGAGCAGTAAAAACAAAAACAAAAAATCCTCACGGTGCATCCATTTTAAGTGCTTTTTACCATCCTGAATATTACTGGTCCACTATAGTTCCTTCTGAGCTCCTGTAATAATTCACACTCATTATTCTCAATGATTAAACTTATCAATTCTGACCTCAAGTTCTCTACTTTGAGACAATAATTTCTCACTCTCCTCTAATTCCTCAATACAAAGGCATCATATTGCCCAAAAAGGCATGATTGCCATCTAGTGGTACCCCATGTGAAAGCAGGCTATACAACAGAGAAAAAAAGCTTTTTTTGTTGATCATTCATTTAATTAATACATATTTATTAAGAGCCCACATGCCAGGCATTGTCCTAAATACTGAATGGTATACAAAAAAGACTAGGTCCTTGTCCTAATGTGGCTTATATTTTAGTGAGGGAGACAGACTATAAGTGAATAAAAATTTTCAGATGGTAAGAGATATAAAGAGATAAAGCAGTGGGATAGGAAGTGATGGAGGAAGGGCTTCTGAAACACCTCATAGTAAAATTTAGAAACTTCTTGAATTAGCATCACATATACAAAAATCTGAAATATAAACATACAACACACAATGTCCACACCTCTGAAAATGGCACACATTTTCAAATTTAAAAAACAAAATGTACCAAATTATCAACTCACTTATGAAGTGTGTGATTAATTTCCATTTTTGACAGACAACAATGTCCACACCTCTGAAAATGGCACACATTTTCAAATTTAAAAAACAAAATGTACCAAATTATCAACTCACTTATGAAGTGTGTGATTAATTTCCATTTTGACAGACTATTCTAAAACTTTACTACTTTGTAACTATTATGTACTATTCAACAACACTGCAAAATATGTATCATATCTGAAGCAAAGTACTTACAGCATCTTCCACATCAATGCATAAATGTGTTCCAGGTTCAGCCTTATTCTCAAGTTCATTCATTTTTTGCATTTCACTGTACAGACTACTCAGAGTTTTGTATTTTTCCCGACAATTTCTGCACACATCTGAATAATTTTTTGTCTGTAGAAGACTTTGGGCACTCCCCTAAAATGACAAAGGTACATGTAACACAACCAATAAACATTACATACAATATCTCTTTAATGATATTAAATACATACAATATCTCTTTTATTTGCCCTCCTACAGGACAGGAAATAATATGTTGTGTCAAAGTGCTGAACTGTGATGTTGGGCAGGTTACGAAATCGCTCAGAGTCTCAGTTTCATCATCTATAACATAGGGTCACCTCTACCTGTATTTTAGGAGACCTAGCATGTGAAGCACACAGCAAAATATTTGGTACTTTCTAGGTGGGCCGAAATTTTGAAAACCACTGCACTAGCTAATGTTAACTGAGGACAACACCAGTTCATATTCCATATTATTGATACCTAAATACCAAATTTCCTAAATTATCATATAGCTGCACCTATATCTATTCCTACTTTTACTAAATAATTTAAATATATGTCTGCATGTGTTGACTTCAACACCAAAGTTTGCTTTGTTGAGACAAGGCTTTTTTAATGGGAAAAGAAAAGGCACCAAAACTACATCCTCACTCAATTCTCTTATCACAAGGCTCATAATCCAGGCCTTTCTAGTTAACAAAAAGGAACAAATATCAAAGAATTCTGTAACCTAAAATGAGGCTAGTGGAGATAACACAAAATATTATGTTAGTGAATCTCAATCATTTCCACTTCTAGACTGATACTTGTCTTTTCAAGAACAAGTCTGTTGAAAAGTCAGTTCACACCTTTGTTTTCTTTTCCCTTTATGTTTACCTTGTAGCATGGACAAAAGATATTAACTGAACATTGTAATGAAAGAGAAAAAAAAATCAAAGTAATCAAACTGATGTAGCCCCTACAATGTCACTCTCACCATCTATTTGATAGAAAAACTAAGTCGCCTTAGTCTGCCACGAGAAATAGCCCGTTGCCTGTTTTCACAGAATAATTGTGCATTCAGTTGAAACCAAAATTAAAAATTGAGCACAGAATCTTGATGGAGGGTAGTTTAGCCACTATTATTAAAATTTAAAATGCACATATATTTTGATAGAGCAATTCCACTTCTAGGAATCTACCAAACAAACTCATACAATTACTCAAAGTTATATGAAAAAGTCTGTCTGTGGCAGCAATTTGTAACAGTAAAATACTGAACCAAACAATATCTCCAACAATGTAGAGACTAGCTATCTAGATGGTAGTATAATCATACGATGAAAAGCTACACAGCTATTACAAATGAACGTGGAAGTAGGATTCCAGGAAGATGATGACATAAGCATATGCCTTGTCTCCTGATTTCTTTACTGAAGAGACTCAACAAAAGAAGTCTAAACCCAGGCACTCGAATAACACTATAAAATATAAAGGCACAAAATGCACACCTCATCACAGGAAGGCTGTAACACAGCTTCCACACCACTCCCAGAGAAAGTGGCTAGAACCTCTATCCCCTGCAACCACCCATCATCGTCTAGAGATGCAGGAGGCTGGAATAACAGCCTCGCCCTGCCTGTGGGGACATCCTTTCACTCCGCAAAAAGCTGCCTTTCCACAGTCAGCAGGTCAGGGAAGCCACTTGCAAACACTTACTACCCAAGGTAGATCTTCTCCCTGCCCATTCAACCAAGCTGGAAGCTATTGCCACAGCCAACATTACCAATTTCATTGCTACCATGTATTTGTTTTGCTGGCCCCCCTCCCAATGCCCCAGGACTCAATCCTTTGGGCCTCTTTATCACCTCTGTTTACACTCACTCTCCTCTAGTCTCTTGCCTTTAAATACCATCTGTACCTAATAACTCTCAAGTCTCTATCACCAGCTCTATCCCCTGAGCTTTAATCTCATTTATAACAAAGACTATTGGCATTTCAACTTGGATGTCTAATAGGTATTTCATACATAACATGTTCAAAACAGAATTCTTTTTTTTTTTTCTGACCGGTAAGGGGATCGTAACCCTCGGCTTGGTGTTGTCCGTACCACACTCAGCCAGTGAGTGCACCAGCCATCCCTATATAGTATCCGAACCCACGGCCTCAGTGCTACCAGCACCACACTCACCCAAGTGAGCCACAGGGCTGGCCCCAAAACAGAATTCTTTTTTTTTTTTCCTTTCTGTCTTTTTTCGTGACCTGTAACGGGATCACAACCCTCGGTGTCGCACCTGTACCGCGACCGGCAACTGGATCGCAACCCTCGGTGTCGCGCCCGCACCGCACTCAAACAGTGAGCGGACCGGTCTCTATATGGGATCCGAACCCTCGGCGGGAGCGCCACCGGCGCTCTCAAGCGCTGCACTCTACCAAGTGCACCACCGGGCCGGCCCCAAAACAGAATTCTTAATCCCCACTCCCT